ATGCTCGACCCGACCCCTCCGATGATCAAGTTAGTTCAAGGTCGCAGGGTGTTTGTTGGTGTTTATCTGTTGTCCTCCGGGCCCCCCCCCCCCCCCCTCGCTTATTTAGAACATGAGGGTATTTATATGGGAGTTTAGTGTTACATGATGTGCCTGCCTGCAGGGAGTAGGATCGTACCTCGGATGGCGTCCGACATCGCTGTTAGCATGGCATGATGGATAGAGCCTGAGCAGTCGTTAATGGGCCTCGGTTGGCGTTTCGGCCCGTGTTTGTCAGGCTCTATCAGCTCGACAGGGACGTGGGGCGTCAGCTGGTGTCACGCGAGTCTTACCATACTTATCACCCTCATCAATTAGATTATCGATAATAGATTCTTGATGTTTTGTTTTAATTATGTAAAAATTATTCATAATTTTACACCTTTATGCCGTGATCGAGGTGTCAGCACTACTTGACCCGTCCCGAGTGCACAAGATCACCAGTATGATCTTTGAACTGGAGCGTGTTAACCTGAGATCTTGTTGAGGGGGTGTAGGCCTCGTTCTCACAGATGGAGGTTGAAGATCACTTCTTTAGTTGTCCGTAGAGTACCTGCACACAGGTCGAAATCAGAGAGAGGGATTTTTGACTTGACATGCTTGAGTTAGCAAGAGTTGGAGATGAGAGAGTTGGAGTGTGTGTATGAGATCCGACCTCTAGCACTATTTTGGGGGTGGTTTTTATACCTGTTGTCGTGTGTTAACGTATGTAGCTGTTAATGATCATCGGTATCTTCATACACATATGTTTAAAGGTCGCCATTACCATTGGTAGTCAGCTTGTATATTGGGATGCGGGTATATTTTGATTTGTTCAGCCTTGTCTCATTCGATACTGCTCTACACCTTTGAAGTAGCTCAAGATGGGGCTATGCTACTTTGTACAGCCTTGAGTGGTGTTTGTGCAGTGTGCTGGTGGTGTGGATGGCAAGCAACTGCCTCGTTTAGATTCGGGATGTCGAGTTGGCTCGGTACACCATGTTGACTTTGGAACGTCGTGCCAGGTCCGTCATGGCAATCGACGTATCCATAAAGTAAATACCAGAATATACTATATCACATATCATATACATGTCTTTCTCACCGTTCTTGCATCCTCATCATTGTCCTCACTAGTCTCGATTTTATCATTATAAAAAAAAAAGGGAACAATCTCATTTTAAGAAAAAAACACACACTACAATAGAGGATTTAAGTGACATCAACCCATAAGTTGGTGGTGTTTGGGTCATCATGCCACCTAAAATTTTTAGGTTTAGCCAACCCCAATCACACGCATTTAAAAAAGGGACACAAAACCGCTGGCTCACGGAAACCGGTCGGCGCCCAACCCGGCGAATGGACCGGACACCACATGCGTCCGCCCATCACCACCGTCCGTTACCGTAGCAACGGCTGCGATGATCAAGAGACAGCTGGGCGAGCCGGCACGCCCGCGCCACTCCCCGCCCACCAACGACCCACCACCTCGGGAACCGACACGTACGACCACGAAAGGACACGCGTCGCACGACGAATCGAGACGCGCTCGTACCGAATCAGCGGCCCCGCACGTGGGGTTCCCCGTTCAGTTACTGAGCCGACCCGGTTCTCCGGTTATTATCTTCTTGCCACCTATATAAACCGGACGTGGGCCTGCTTCGCCTCTCACCCGCACACACCTCTTCCCCCTTCCCTATCTTCTTCCTCCTCCCTCTTCCACTGCCTCTCGTGACTGCGTTCTTGGAGTTGACACTCGTATGTGCAGAGTAGTGCGAGGGCAGATGATAATCAAAGATCGCCGGCATGTTCTCCACAGGCTTTCTTGAACTGTGAACTATCTGTAATCCTGTGTGTCTGAGGAGGAAGGTGGACTCTGTTGACAGTTCAAGAAAGTCCTTGGAAAACATGACACATCTTTCCCAGTTATTGTCTTCGTAAGGTTCGATGAAGGGTTTCTGCGTTTTCACTGCCATTCCCATCTTCTCTTCATCCTTTTCCGTTGTGTTTTGAGTTACAGTGTGAGTTCAGGTGAATCGACTGCATGCCATGATCGAATCGACTGGATTATATGTTCCAACAGTTGTTTCTTTGAGTATCGTGAGTCATCGATGAAGAGGACACAAAACAATATTGAAGACATGAATTATTGATGTGCCTTTTAATCTCACCTGTCACTTGATTTGACCAGCTCAATTTCCTTGCAATTAATTTCTGTTCGAAAGAACAGATGAAGAGACCCACAAGCCATTGGGCCTGACATGAGTTCAATGGACGATGAGATTAGCATATGCATGTTGGAAGGCAATACCCCAAGCTATAATTGGTGGGTGGTACAGCGTTCCTCGATCCTCCGCCATACATAATAAGCAACGACCGTTGGCCATCTCACGCCATGGTTAATCATGGCCTCTCCCCCTGCCCTTCATATAATAGTCGTTCTCCTCCTCTCCCTTTCATCGATCTTTCTTCCCCTGTTTCTTCCGTTTCAGTTCCGTAAGGCGAAGGCCCGGTCTTGCCCCTTCTCTCGCTTCCCCACCCTCTCGGCGAGGGAGAATATGACCGCAGCCGGAGAAGGGGAGAGGGAGCATGGGGACGACGAGCAGTCGGTGGAGCGGATGTTTGACTGCCAGGAGGTGCCTCCATGGACCCAGCAGCTCACCTTACGCTCGCTGGCCGTCAGCGCCATCCTCGGCTTCTTCCTCAGCTTCATCGTCATGAAGCTCAACCTCACCGCGGGTATCATCCCCTCCCTCAACGTCTCCGCGGGCCTGCTCGGCTTCTTCATGGTCAAGACCTGGACCACGCTCCTGGAGAAGACCGGTCTCCTCAACCAGCCCTTCACCCGCCAGGAGAACACCGTTATCCAGACATGCGTCGTCGCTTGCTCCGGCATCGCCTTCAGTGGTGGGTGACAGCAATCCGGTTTGCTCGTTCCTTCATTTCTTCCTTACCCTCTCGAACATGCATACGAGTTTGGTACATGTGTGAGCGAGCGCATAAAGAAGCATTTATGTACGCTGGCATCAGGTGGCTTCGGAAGCTATATACTTGGCATGAGCAAGAAAGTTGCAGATCAATTTGGTGAGGCAGACACCGGTGTTAACATGAAAGAACCATCTCTAGGTTGGCTGATTTGTTTCCTTCTGGCGGTCAGCTTTGTCGGCTTGTTCTCGGTTGTACCACTGCGGAGGGTGAGCTGCTTGCCATTCGATCACTTTGTAATATGCTCTATCCACGTTATTAATGAGCTCAAATGTTACGTCTTTTGTCTCTCAGATCATGATCATCGCATATAAGCTAACATATCCAAGCGGCACGGCTACTGCTCACTTGATCAACAGCTTTCACACCCCTCAGGGAGCCTTGCTTGCCAGGTAAAATATACATATAGCATATATATTACTAGTTCTTATCGCACCAAACGTAATATGACTTGCTGAAGAACTATGTTCCTGATCAATCGTTGACTTCAGAAAGCAAGTGTCTCTTTTGTTCAAAACCTTCGGAGCTAGCTTCATTTGGGCCATGTTCCAATGGTTTTACACTGCTAGTGATGGCTGTGGGTTCGTATCTTTCCCCACATTTGGGCTCCAAGCTTATGAGAACAGGTAGTATAATGAATTTTCTGTTCAATATACAAGTCTTTCTCACTTTTGGTTTCATTGCTTTTCTATACCTCACGAGCTATGCATGGATGATTGGGAGCTCAAAATTGGCTTGCAGGTTTTACTTCGACTTCTCTGCCACTTACGTGGGCGTTGGGATGATCTGCCCTTACATAATCAACATCTCGCTGTTCCTCGGGTCTATCATCTCTTGGGGCATTCTGTGGCCTTATATAAGAAGCAAGCAGGGAGTGTGGTATGATGCATCGCTCCCTGAAAGCAGTCTTCATGGAATCAATGGTTACAAGGTTTGCATCAATGTTCTCCTTCGCTTTTGCTTAAGATTCACAATCTGTCGTGATGGATCCTACTATACGTCTGTAACAGGTGTTCATATCCATTGCTATGATACTGGGTGACGGGCTGTTCCACTTTCTAGTCGTGTTCTTCCGCAGCTCCTACGACATGTACAACAAGCGCCAGCGGAAGGACGCCGCCACACCCTTCGCCGACGCTGCTGCCCTTGTTGGGCCCTGCCTTAGCTTCGACGACCGCCGCCGCAGCAATGTCTTCCTCAAGGATCAGATCCCTACCACGGTTGCCATCGCGGGCTACGTCCTCTTTGCCGTCATCTCAGTCATCGCGGTTCCCTTCATCTTCCCCCAGCTCAAGTTCTATCACATCATTGTCGCCTACATCATCGCGCCGGTCCTTGCCTTCTGCAATTCCTACGGTTGCGGGCTCACCGACTGGTCTCTCGCCTCCAGCTACGGCAAGCTCGCCATCTTCATTTTCGGCGCGTGGATTGGGATGAACAACGGCGGCGTGCTCGCTGGCTTAGCTTCGTGCGGCGTCATGATGAGCATCGTGTCGACCGCATCGGATCTGATGCAGGATCTGAAGACCGGCTATCTTACCCTCTCGTCGCCTAGGTCCATGTTCGTGAGCCAAGTAATCGGGACGGCCATGGGATGCGTGATCGCCCCCAGTGTTTTCTGGATCTTCTACTCAGCCTTCGACCTGGGGAGCGAAACGTCTGGGTACCCGGCGCCGTACGCCAAGGTCTATCGAGGGATCGCGATCCTTGGCGTGGAGGGCCTCTCGGCGCTCCCCAAGTACTGCTTGAACTTCTGCGCCGTCTTCTTCTTCGTGTCATTCGCCATCAACGGGCTGAAGGAGGTGGCCAAATACAAGAACTGGAAGATCTACAACTACATCCCGAGCGCCATGGGCATGGCCATACCGTTCTACCTGGGGTCCTACTTCACCATCGACATGTGCGTGGGGAGCTTGATACTCTACTTGTGGGAGAGGGCGGACAAGCGGCACGCCACAGTGTTCGCGCCGGCCGTGGCATCGGGGTTGATATGCGGCGACGGGATATGGTCGCTGCCGGCGTCTCTGCTGTCCTTAGCGAAGGTGCAGCCACCCATATGCATGAAGTTCCTGTCCCGTGCCGACAACGACAAGGTAGACGCCTTCTTGAGTGGATGAGCTCATGGTGTCCAAAATAACCATCGTTTCAGGGAATTACTGGTGGAGCATTAACAGTGCAGTTATCCCTATGAAACGGTGTATCCCGTCCACCCCTGTGTATCAAGTATCATCTATCCACATATGGCGTTAAGGATTTTTATGCCGTGGCAAAGATTCCGATAGGTTCAAGAATCCCATGAAACGTCTTCGACACCCATAAGTCGCGCCAAATCGATGGACGAGTCGCTCCATTCATCTACGACGAGCCAAATTGAAACGTGTCACGCCCACGCAAAGCCACGTACGACGAGACCGCTCCACGACACCGAATTAAATCCCTGGAAATATTATTTTGTATTATTAATTATATTTGTCGATGTGGATGTAAATATCTTTTTTTTCCTCTTTATTAATATTTTTTTATTTTCATTTATTTTGATCCCATTGGCTTTAAATAGACTCCCTCGTACCACTCTCTATCTCTGTTTCGTTTCTTGATTTCGGTTGGTTTGTTGTGTGGAGTCATGTCTCTCCTCCGAGATCTCATCAACCTTGATTAACCTCACCGAGAATATCATCGCCGCCGAACCGGTTTCGGATCCGAGCAAGCTACCCAAGCGGAACTATGACGAATCCAGTGCGGGTCAAGCTCCAGGGGACGATAGTGAAGTCATCTTATAGTGGGTGTGGTCTTATATCATAATAGAGAATTATGTTCGATTTCTCCCTCTTTTCCTTTGGATACTTATGTTTGTTTCCCACTTTTTGGTTAGCCCTCAGGCGATGTTCAAGGGTCCATTTAGAAGAGGAAATAATATTCTGGTAAATTTAAGGGTTTCCTTCCTTTTCTAGGGTAGATTTTCTTTAATGGCACAAATATATATGTATTTTGGTGATTTGTGGTCCCTATGCACCGACAGGAGATCCGATCTCTACTAACAAAAGGTTCAACGCGCAGAAGATCTATAGCCACCCTGATGTGATGGTCGAGGAGCCTTATAATAATTTATACCTGGCATTCTTTGTAAAAGATTTGATAGCTTCTTATTTGATATTATAAGTTGTCATTTATTCAACATTAGAAATCAAATTAGAAGACGAATCTGTTAACATAAAATCTGTAATCATATTATCTGTAATGCAAAAAAAAATTTATGCTAAGATAAAAATCAAATAAATTAGATCTAATAATATTACGATGCATACCTTTCTTGTTGTTAAAAAAAATAAACCTTATCTAATCTACAAGCACTTTATCTTCGGATCTGAAATATCAATCTGCAAAGATCTACAAGGAGAACTAGATCCTTCTCCTCTCTTCCTATCTTTTCACAGAACCACCTAGATTGATGGATTAGGGGATTATGGGAGAGGGAGATCGAGAGAAAAACCTTAATCTTTCAATTGTTGAGATGCTACTCAGATGCACTCTAATGCACACTGATGACTCTTAGCCCCTAGAGGTCCTGTCGAGAGCAGAGGGTCTAGGATAAGTTATTAGGAAAGTTCCTTCTATCTATCTCCTAAGGAATTCTACTTTAATATGGACTTCTTTTCTATTTCTCATCACATAATTATTTGAAATAGATTCTCCTTTGGGATTATCTAAATCTCATAATTATATGTGCCATCATAAATATTATTTTATTTAATATCATTTAAGATGAATTCCATAATGTATTTTATAGATTATTGGTCTAGGTCACTTTGGTGGCTGCAAGACCAATACAAAAAGATAAAATATAATCTAAAATATCCCATGAATGACATGAACTTTATTGTAATTCATATCCCATAAGCCTATTATCCCAAGCTACTTTGATAGCTATAGGTCAGATAAAACTTAGGAAGATAAATTACAAATAATATTCACTAAATTTTTTTATTCTGATTCATACTGTCATTATGAATATTATTTTTATTTAATATCATTTAGGACTAATTTCATAATGTATTTTATAAATTATCGGTCCATGTCAATTTGATGGCTGTAGGACTAATACAAAAATATAAAATACAATCTAAAATGTCCTATAAATGATAAGACCTTTATTGTAATTCATATCACAAAAGTTTATCATCCAATACCACTTTGATAACTACAAGTCAGATAAAACTTAAAGAGATGAATTACAAATAATATTCATCAAATTTCTTTAATTTATGCTAAGTAGTTCAATAATAGAATAACAACCATAATAATTATTAAACATTAATGCTAAGTAGTTCAATAATAAAATAATAACCATTATAATTATTGAACATTAATGCTAAGCAGTTCAATAATAGAATAATAACCATAATAATTATTAAACATTAATCAGTAAAAGAAAACTCACATGATAATCATGATAATATATAAATCATGCCTTCATGTGAAAGGTAAACATTATTTCATAATTTCAAATACATGTGAATAACTAAATAAATATTTAAGAACAATAATTAGATTTTATTTATCATATATATAATCAATAATTCATATGAGAAAACTATAAAGTAAACCATAATTTATAATTTTTTAATCAAAAATTAAATCAAATCAAATAACCAAAATATAATCATGATTAAATTTAATCATAATTATAATAAATTATATTTCTTAATTTTATAATTGAGAATACAAACCAAATTTCTCAATTTCATAATAATAAAACTGTAAATATTTGATAGGATATAAATCAGAAATATGCGATTCATGGCAGAAATGTAATTTGGCAGAAATTAGACCGATGATAAAAGTATCAATATGTTGACAGAACATAAGCTGGAATTACGAAATTTGCAAAGGGCATAATTATAATTTTACAAAACCTTAGCCTCGAGGTCAAAACCGTAATTATGCTAAAAAACCCAAATCTGCCTTGCTGTCGCTGCTCGCGCGCGGCCGCTATGACCTTTCCTGCCTGCGGACGATGCGCACAGCTTGCCGCGGCTATTGCCAGCTCGTGGCCGCTGCGGTGGTACCTGCCCGCGTGCGGCCGCTGCCACCGCGGGGGCTGCCTCTGCCCATGAGCGGCCGCTGCGGCGGTTCCTGCCCACGCGTGGCTGCTGCCAGCGCGCGACAGCCGTCGGTGCACGGTTTCCACGCCGCGGCGCTGCCTGTGCCGCCCGTGCCCGCGCGCGACCGCTGCCACTACTTGCGCGCGGCTGCCGCGGTTCCTGCCCGCACGCTTGGCCACCACCTTAGCGCGGCCGTTGTCGCTGCCCACTGTCCACGGGGGCAGCAGTTGCCGCCATCTGCGGCCACCGCCCTTCCATAAGCGCCTTCTGCGGGCGCCACCATTATGCGTGAGGGCGGTCGTCGCCTTCACACGGGGTGCAACCGCCACCTTCCGCGATCACCGCGTTCACAGGCGGTGCAGGATGCTCGTGGTGCCGCCACCACTTGCAAGCGGACCGCTGCCCGCGCACGACCGTGATGCGCGGCTGCAGGGTGGTACAAGACTCTTCGTCGACAACGATCAACAGAGATGATCATCTCAATAACATCGATGATAGTAAATATTAAATTCATCGATGAAACATAAAATTATACATTGCTCATAATTAGTAATAGAGGAAATTATATAGAAAAAACATATCAATAATATCCGACGAATCATTCAGGCATCGTAAACAAAAATAATAGATCTAATATATTTGATCTTAATAATTTGGTTTTGATACCAATTGTTAGCATAAAATCTGTAATCATACTATCTGTAATGCGAAAAAACTTTTATGCCAAGATTGAAATCAAATAAATTGGATCTAATAATATTACGATACATACCTTTCTTGTTGTTCAGAAGAATAAATCTCATCTGATCTACAAGCGCTTTATCTTCCGATCTAAAATATCAAGGAGATTAGGGGAGAGGGAGATTAAGAGAAAAACCTTAATTTTTCAATTGTTGAGATGCTACTCAGATGCACTACATCTAATGCACACTGGGATTAGGGGAGAGGGAGATTGAGAGAAAAATCTTAATTTTTTAATTGTTGAGATGTCTGATGCACATTGATGATGCCCTTAGCCCCTAGAAGTCCCTCCCATCCAGGTTATCTCCTAAAGAATCCTATTTTAATATAGACTTCTTTTCTATTGGCCAATAACCATAATATATCTATAATATATCTTACCTAATTAAATAGGATAACATAATCTAACATAATCTGGACTTCAAATTCAAAATGAATACAAGAAATGGTTTAATTATTTCCAAATGGGAGGGATCTTACTTACGTACGATGGGATTTATGTAATGGAATTCCTTTTCTATTAGTCGTTCGAAATGGTTATCAACTCTTGTAGCTTAATCTCGAGTAATCTGAGGGAACTACAAAAGTATGATTGCTGACTGATAAGGCCATCTAAATATATGTTCTCTTTTTATTAAGGCTCGTTTATTGGCCTTCCTAAACTTCCAGTTGACAGACATCCCACCCCTAACTGATTTTGACACAACAATGTCAACTGCAGGAATATATTTTGTTCTTATGTTGCTTTTTGTGAACATATCTCTTTGAAGTCATTGTTCCACTTGGCCCTCGTAAGCACAAGCAAGATGAAATATTGTTGTTTTCAAATTTTGAAGTGCTTGAGTAATTTGTTCTGTGGTTTGTAAAGGAAAATTTCATACTATGCAAGTATGAAAGTTACACAAATCCTAATTGATTGTCTGACAGTGACTCTAACACATGTTTATTGAATTTATACAGAATTTACACTATGGCCTTGTGTTAATTTCTAACCAGGATTCATTCTTTCAGGTGTGGCATCGAGCAGGAATACACTCTGCTTCAGGAGGAGTCTCAGTGGCCTCTTGGTAGATTTTGTTAAAATAAAGAGCTGACGGGGCAATTGATCAGCCGTATCACTTGGTATCATAGAGATCTATGAGTGCTTGTCCCGCTCTGATATCAATTAGGGAAATCTCATCCTCAACAGTACTCACTTGACCATATGACACGGACTTAGTTGGTTTTGCCTAAGTCGTGCGGCACCCTTGCGTGTCCGTCCGCAAAGGTCAGCCTCCCCGAAGACTCTCATTGTCCCTTAGGACCAACAAAAGAGAGAACGGGCAAGAGAGAACGCCTCAATCGGGATCCACAAGCAAACATGTCCGAAAAATACTTCATAGACAATGCAAATTAC